GGAGGGGTGTCAGTATATAGACTTGTACGCTATCGCTTCTCAAGTTGTTTTGCTACTCTGATGTAACAGATAAGGCACTTTCTATGCATGAGGAAACGGACGGACAGAAACTGTCTAAGATTCCGCAGTTTCATTCAAAACATCCTAAAGAATTTAAACGTATGTCGCCTGCAGTGCAGTCGAGCGCAATTAATAAAACGTGAACGCCCAGTGCGCCCATTCTGCCTTATCCCTATCTCCCTTCACTTACGTAAGGAAGGTGTGCCGAAGTCCTGGGTTACATTTACAAACCTTTGACCCCTCAGTGTGACCGTTGCGTGTTCACAACACGAAGTGACACCGAGTCGTCTCAGCTGATTCAGACTCGGGGGGCTTGTCGTGAAGGGCTGGGCAATGAGTCCCTTTAACAAAATCCGGATAATACATTAGTGCACCTCTTCGGCGGGCGCGGTTTGTCCATAGAACACGGTCGTGCAGTGCCGCCCAAAATGTTTTAATGTTCTATGACGTAAAGCACCAACAATAATAAAATAAAAGACGCCAGAGACAAATACTAGTCAAATATTATATCAAAACAAGGACCTCGCTGACGCCGTAACTATGATTTCTATTCTATAACGCCGTAAAACATCTACTATGCCATGCCTAAGTTCATGCGCTGTATCTAAACATAACAGGATAGTCAACAGTGGAAACCTGACCTATAAATCGCTCTTTGGGATAACCCAAGCGATGACGACACTTGTAGAGAGTTTGACGGTATATTAATATTAATAAGACGGCACATCTCAAATGTGCTCCTGCCGAATAGCGCCGAAACATAGCCCGCAGTAGGCAATCTAAAAATAAACGCCATAGACTGTGCTTTATTCCATGCCAAAATTATGTGGGCCACGGAGCAATCCAGCAGAGTGCTCAAGTGAATTGTGATTGGTTCATTGTCTTGTCGCTATTTTAAGTGACTCTGTGACCGTGAACCCGAGGGAGGTGAACGTGACATACTTGAGTCGCCGCCCTATGAGTTGTGCTTTTGAACGGTTTTGTAGTGGAGTGGTGAAATGTATTACTTTAGTGTTTAGTTCTAATGCAGGATGAATGAAATTGACGTTTAGCTAACAAGCAGATTTAGTTCTAGAAGTCAAAGCCACACGTAAAAAGATTGAAAATAAAAGCACAAGGTCTTCCTTCACCATCCCAAAGATCCTAAAATTATACACCATCCCATTTACTCTGCCCTTGATTATCTTCAGCCTAAGATAGCTTAATTGTACACGCCCACGTTTTAGACACACGAGCCGCCCCTGCTCTTCGGCAAATAAAAAATTAAATTATGTTATGAACTGCTTCGACAAACAGGTTAACGTCACTTCAACAATTAATGGGTGCTCCAAGCTTCGCCAATCGGGTCAGGAAAGAGAGTTAACGAGTCTGGATTCGGATTACGTTTTATTAAAGAAATATCCGGTTATCCGGATAGGTATCCGGATTTTGCCCACGTCTTTTGTTGTGACGTCTTTTATGAATGTCAAGCAAAGGACATACCGGTCAGCAAAGAGGTTTTCACCGTGCCTGTGACCAGTGCATGAGTACTGGTGCCCTCAGCGAAAAACAGAGGGCACAGCCAGGCTATTCACAACCCTACACCTGTGGAGCAGCTGACTTGAGAGACGAACATTGTCATGTTCTACGTACATTGATTAAAAATAAATTATAAATATCATGACAGGCTATCAAAACAGACAGTCATGCTTGTTGCCATGCAAGGCTTTCCCAGTCATGACGCCATTTGCGATTTTTACAAACCAGTACAAGTTAATTATTGACGAGGATGGAACTCTTTCGTCCTGGAGATGAAAGCAGACAATGAGCCCATCTCATTTTCATATAATGATCTTGTGATCTCTTGAATGTAAGCCTTGTTGCAAATGTACATAGCACATTTTGATTCATATTCAGCTGGTGTTCTCAATTACCCTTCCTGTCAAAATCTCTTAAGAAAACCCACTTTCTTCATTCTCGGTTAACAGGAAATCATAAAGTTTATCATTGCTGAAGTTATATCAAGTTCCGAAAATAAAGGAAAGGGCGGAATTTTTAGACATTAATGCCGGTCCAGACGTATTTATGAAATTGCTGCCCTAAAGATGACGGAAAAGCATCTTCTCTTCACAACCAGAAGATGCGTGTTTGCACTTTGGCAACAATTTGGAAACAGTATCCGTAAATCTGTATAGCTCGCGCGTCATCACAAATTATTTATAGAGTCTAAAATTACGCACGAATTGAGCCCCTCCTCCTTCACGACTAGATATAGGTCTATCCCTGTTTGTCTGGGTCTCTGTCGTTGCCCCCTCCCCCAACTCTCTCTCTCTCTCTCTCTCTCTCT